TGTACTGCTTGTGCTTGTATAGCACTGCATGTGAACTAGCCTTGTGGCCGCTTGCTTGTGCTCAGACTGCATGGTGATTTTGAGATTCACCCTGAGCTTTGCTTTGCTTTGTTCTCTTGCTTGACTGTTCTTGTGACCAGGGCCCTGGATATCAGACTTTTTACGCGGATTCAGCATTAGATCATTGTTTTTTTTTTTACACTAGGCTGAAGTCGGAATATATATATATATATATATATATATATTTATGTTGGCTGGTTTTTGATTGTTTTTTTTTATGCCTTACCTGCTTTTCATTTATAAAGTATGAGTGTAGGCTGGGCCTCAGCCTTGTATCGGGGGTGCACTCTGAAACCAGCATTACGGGGATTCAGTCTAGCCAAGCAAAGTGTAGGACTAACACCGTCAATCACGTGCTAGAATCTGAATTTTACGAGCTCGGCACCACTCAGTCGCGTTGGTACAGCAAAGTTGAAATCATATACATTTCCAACCAATCGGGTATGTGCAGCAGCCAGCGTTGGCAAGATTGCCACGCATAGCTCGCAGCGTGCTACGCCTCACATGAAACCACAACCATCCACCCCAGCCCACCTTCCCTGCATACACGACCCAATGATGTGCATGTAGGGACCATCGAGAGTTTGAGAGGCCCTAATACGAGAACCTCCTTGCTTCCCCAGCGCCACCGTTTCTGCCAGTCCCTCTGTCACGTGCCTCTTGCTTCAGTTCAATGTCCTCCCCTGAAACTACTGCCTGAACCCTGGTTTCAGGCTGCTACTCCCGACCTAGCAAAACACTGCTCGGCAGACTCAACGGATGCCACAAACGCTGCTGCAAGAGCTTGACGACGACGATGATTTAGATCGTCGCCCTCTAGGCGACATAGCAACGGGCCTGGACTTTCTTCTTGTCGTCCTTAGAGAATCCCCGTGCACCGCCAGCGCCACCGTCGCTGCCCAGCTCGAGTCACGCTCCAGATTCCATGCACTTGATTCTTTGCCCGATGCTGCCACTGAACCTCCCCGATGCCTCAGAAGGAATTACATGAGGCGTCAGCCGAAACTCCATCCTGTCTCGTGCCACTACCAGAGTTGCATTTACGGTTGTCTGCCATTGCGTGGGTAACTCCACCACCTGCTTCGAGTGTTGATGCTCCAGCGGCAGAGGAATCTCCCATGCAAGACAGCTCCAAACCCGTTTTCGAGAAATTTGAGTTGAAAAATGAAGAATCTCACGACCGTTACAAGACAAAGTGGTGTACGGATTATCCAAGGCTGGTACTAAACAAGGCTTCTGTAGGTGACCCCTGTTTTAAGTGCACCATCTGCACGGAATTTGCTGGATTGGCAGGCAAATGTGGACGGCGTGGAGAAGGCGCTACCAACGTGTAGACACAGGCCTTCAAAAGGCATGAAGGGACCACGAAGCATCGGTTAGCACTGCAGAGGCAGGACGACCTGTTGCAGATAGTGGAGGGACAGCGACGCGTTAATCTACACCCCAAGGTGCACGACAAGGAGATGGTGCAAGCTTTCGCACTCGCGGACTCGCTGTACTTCATGAGCAAGTGGAACGAGCCCATGGACTCATAGATCCGGCTTGTGCGCTACCTGGCAAAGAAGAAGGTGCCCGGGTTTTCGGAGCATGGTTACGGCACTTACTACAATACGTAAGTATTTTCCGTTGTTACATATGTCATAACATTGACGTAACATTTGCCATACGTATGTCGCTCACTACCCTGTCTTGTTTGAATTACTGGTACGGATTTGGAAAACTCACTCAAGCAATTGTGACGTGGCTTCAAACAACATAGATGGAGCATCTTCTAACGAGCCCTTTTATCGGGATCACACTGGACGAGAGCACCGATCGGCGACGCGGCAAACACATGATTGTGTATGCCACCTTTATGTGCGATGGTGTTGTCGTCACCGAGTTCATTGCTTTGCTCACTGTTGAGAAGGCTGACGCTGAATCCTTGTCCAGTTTGTTGCTTTCCCACCTCAGAGCAATCAGCGTGGACCTCCGCCGTATCTCGGGCATGAGCACAGAGCGCGCGATGGTCATGGTGGGGCCTGAAAGTGGAGTGGTTGCACGACTCCGTATGCTCATCCCCAACCTCATCTCGTTCCACTGCATCGCACACCGGTTCGAGTTTTATGCTTTTGTAATCTGCACGTTTAACGTACGAGTGGTGTTTAATAACTGTGTACAATAACCATGTTAGTGTTGTCTGACGTGCATCGGCTGCGAATGCTGCAGCAGAGGCCATCCCGACATTCAACATGGTCGACGAGGTCATCCGCGCGGTCGCGGAATACCTGGGGCGTTCGGGGCCGTGCCATCAACGTTTCATGGAGCTGCGGTAGGTCTTCTTAGCCACGAACCTCGACGTGCAAGGCATACACTAGATACGATGGCTGTCGAGGGGTGCTGCCGTTTCGCGGTTCGTTGAAGTCCTGCCTGTCATCGTCGTGATGATGTCTGAGTGGAAGGACCAGGCCATGTACGAGTTCATCACGTCGTATCGCTTCCAGCTCCTTCTCAGGTTCCTTGCAGATGTGCTGGAGCTGCTGAACGTCCTCTCCAAGGTTTTCCACCATCGAGAGGTAAGTCACGGTTCATTCATTCTTAACTTTCTTGTTATTTAACATACTGGTATTAACTACCGTGATTTGTGTGTGGTGCCTCGACTACCCCATTGTGCACGCTCAGATCCTGCACACAACCTCTCTCCTGGAGAGCCGGTACATCGACTGTGGCAACGATTTCGGCGGCGGCCCCAATGAGCGTCTCTACCGGTTCATCGCCAAGCATGGACCAAACGGGTCGCCGCAGATGGTGGTGGAAGGGGCCTCGTTGGACGGCAGCATGAACCGCTTCACTTTCAACCTCCACGAGCGCACGAACGCGAATTACTGTGGACCCAGTCATCATGACGCTTGCGTCGCGCTCTGCACCGACATGGCCGAGCTCCTCGTCAAAAACCTCCTGTCAAAGGTCGGTGATCTCGATTCGCTGGCTGGATTGTGGCTCTTCATCCCGGACCTGTGGCCCCCCGAACTGGGATTGGCACGCACAGCAGACTCAGTGCCAGGAGTGGCTGTTGTCGCTAGCCACTTTGTTTCACGCCGACGACTCGCCCGAGATTCTACCAAGTTGGTTTTTTATCTTGGATTGGTAGCATGTCCGACGATTGCAATCTCGTATTGCACTAATCCCCTCCCCTTTGTAACTTACATCGCAGGCATTGACTAAAAACGGGCTGTGAAGGAGCTGGGGACTCTGTTCTCGGTCTTGGCCAGAACTCTTAAGATTGAGCGGAAGTTCCACGTGGTATTGACAGCCATCCTGAAGACTCCCGACTGGCAGCAGTTGTACCCCAACCTTGTAATCCTCTGGGGGGCAAATGCAGTCTTGCCTCTCAGCACCGTTGAGTGTGAGAGAGTTTTCTCTAGACAGAACCTCATCAAGACGTGGCAAAGAGGCAGTATTAAGAATTGTAGGCTCATTGATCTGTTGTACATGTCATTGCTGGACTACGAGCTAGATTTTCTGGGAGTAGTAGAGATTTGGCGCAGCTACAAGAAGCGCTGTCCTGTCACTGCACCCGCTGCAAGACACAGGGAGCCGTCAAGGGCTGGGAAGGAGGCTGTACAGGTGGATGGTGTAGTTGAGCGTGCTCTTGTAGAAGCTCCCCCTACTTCGGACTGTGACTCGGATGTGTGAGAGAATGTTTAAATGGATGTACTTCAATTTTACAGGTAACGCTGAAAGTTCAGCCCAAAAGAAATTGTGTTGTCTGAAATTTCAGCACAAAAACTTGGGCCCACACTGACTCACAGAGTTTCAACAGGGGTGCACTCTGATCGATCAGCGCGCCTCACAACGAGTTTAGGGGACTGCTTGCGACCATTGGTTGTTCTTGCTATCCCCCACTTTGCCTATGGGGGTGTGTCAAAATATGTTATATGTCGTTTAGGCTGTAGTGGGGTACACTGTACTGCATACAACCCATTAGGGTTAGGACTACTTGTATAACCCCTTCATGCTAATGCATTCAATCCTACACGTTTTTATTTACAATGGTATTTGAGAGCAAGATCTCTGTTTGTGCTGTGCAAATGGACTGAACGTGGCTGGGCAACTATGTTACTGGGCTGTTCGACTCATCACGTTGTGAAGTGTGCAGTTCTGATGTGGCAAGGGTGTGCCCCTGTTATCTCTGGAGCACTGACGTGATAGGAGGTTCAATTGACTCCAGTAACAAGTACAGTTTTAGATTTTTGTACACGACACGTATAGCCCTACAAATCTCAAGCAAGACATCCTTAGAGCACGTGCTATGGTAGGCAAGAAACAAAGGAACATTTTATGGTACCCTATGGTAGGTAAGAGTGGAGGGGAGGAGTCTTATTGAGTGAAGCGGAGAAGGGGTCGAGTGGAGGAGGGAGTGAAGGGGAGAAGGGGCTGAGAGGAGGAAGTGAAGGGGAGAAGGGGTTGAGTGGAGGAGGAAATGGACGTTCCACTGAGCAGAAGCGAGTAGCCATCCAAGTTGAAGCATGTGCATGTGGCACCATGATAGTCTGTGCAGCCATCCTTGTCATCCTACTTTGTAGAGCACATGACTGAGCGGTACACGTACTTAGAAAAAGGTACAGGGTTGTCCCTGGTTAATGGCAACAAGGGGAGGACACAGAAGATACAATGACTTCAAGAGCAAGTGTGCATGAAAATAGGTGATGGATGCAGGAAGGAAGTGCGAAATCCAGCAAGTGTGCAGGTGGAGAAAGGCAAATCACTCGCAGTGGGGTTGGAACAGGATAAATCACTCACTCGACGTAGTAAAGATAAAACGGCGAGTTTGTATTGTCGGTCTCGGTTAAAGGATCGCCTGCACAGTTGTCTGCAGCTTGGAGCGTCGCCAATGTTTTCGACACTATACAGAGTCGTGTACGTCCCACGCACTGCCTCCGGGTATCGAGTGCAGGCATTCAGGTTGGGGCGAAACGAATAGGGCTGCGACGCTTCGCCCAGGGCATGTCGATCTGCGATGAGTGTGAAGCTGGTTGAAGCGACGGTGGGAGTGCCACCTGAAAAACAGTGGCATAGCACAAGGATGGACGCAGCACAACGTTTGACGCACAAGAAACAAAGTTTGTTTCTTCATGCGTTCCCTCACTCATCCATCCCTTCATGCACTCATACGCATTGCCATTTCCCACAATCGGTCGATCAGCCTACTTGGAAGCGTGAGGAAGGTGAAGCAATGGGTGGGGTGAGTGGGGGAGAGTAGCGAGTGGGGCAAGTAGCGAGTGAGGCCAGTAGAGAGTGCAGGTAAGTATGGAAAGAGAGAATGGGACGAGACTGGAAAGGAGAAGATGGGGCGAGCAGAGCAAGGAGAGGATGAGACTCGTAGAGTGAGCATGGAAAGGAGACTGGACGAGACTGGAAAGGAGAATGGGACGAGTAGGGAGAGGAGAGAATGGGGAGAGCAGAGCGAGGACGCGGCAAACAGGCTCACCCTTGACACACTTGGTCGGGTGATCCCATAGCCTTGAGGGCATGCGCAGTAAGGAATGGGCTTGTTCTTGTTGAATTCATCGGGCACTGACTTGCAGGTGGCTCCCGAGGGGCAGTCGCCACAGGGTGAGTCTGAGGGGTGGGCATTGGCGCAGTGCGGTATGTGGGTGAAAATGCTAGTGAGGGGTTGAGTCTCCAGCAGGGCAGGCACCATTAGGTGAGACTGAGAGGCGGGCATGGGTGCAATGCGGTATGTGAGTGTAATTGTTAGTGGAGATCGAGGTTCCAGATGGGGAAGCACTACAAGGTGAGGCAACGGAACACACACAAGGTGAGGGAAAGGAATAAGGGATAGGGAGAAGGAAAGCAGAGGGGAGAAGCAAGGTAGAGGGGGGGATGCAAGGTAGAGGGGGAGAAGCAAGGTAGAGGGGGAGAAGCAAGGTAGAGGGGGAGAAGCAAGGTAGAGGGGGAGAAGCAAGGTAGAGGGGGAGAAGCAAGGCGGAGGGGAGAAACAAGGTGAAGGGGGAGAAGCAAGGCGGAGGGGGAGAAGCAAGGGACAAGAAATACAGAAATGGGATAACCATGAATAAGGGATGAAGGTGAGTGCAGTGCGGTATGTGAGCATGATGTAAACAAAAAACAAACGCATGCGGGATGGGGTTGGTTTGGCTGGCTGGATGCCGTGGGTTCATAGAATGGCTGAGTAGAGTTGAGAATGGGAGAGCACGCACGCCATGCTCACTCACCCCACTACCAGGCACGCCATGCTCACTCACCCCACTACCAGGCACGCCATGCTCACTCACCCCACTACCAGGCACGCCATGCTCACTCACCCCACTACCAGGCACGCCATGCTCACTCACCCCACTAGCAGGCACGCCATGCTCACTCACCCCACTAGCAGGCACGCCATGCTCACTCACCCCACTAGCAGGCATGCCATGCTCACTCACCCCACTACCAGGCACGCCATGCTCACTCACCCCACTAGCAGGCACGCCATGCTCACTCACCCCACTACCAGGCACGCCATGCTCACTCACCCCACTAGCAGGCACGCCATGCTCACTCACCCCACTACCAGGCACGCCATGCTCACTCACCCCACTACCAGGCACGCCATGCTCACTCACCCCACTAGCAGGCACGCCATGCTCACTCACCCCACTAGCAGGCACGCCATGCTCACTCACCCCACTACCAGGCACGCCATGCTCACTCACCCCACTAGCAGGCACGCCATGCTCACTCACCCCACCAGCACGCACGCCATGCTCACTCACCCCACTACCAGGCACGCCATGCTCACTCACCCCACTACCAGGCACGCCATGCTCACTCACCCCACTACCAGGCACGCCATGCTCACTCACCCCACTACCAGGCACGCCATGCTCACTCACCCCACTAGCAGGCACGCCATGCTCACTCACCCCACTAGCAGGCACGCCATGCTCACTCACCCCACTAGCAGGCATGCCATGCTCACTCACCCCACTACCAGGCACGCCATGCTCACTCACCCCACTAGCAGGCACGCCATGCTCACTCACCCCACTACCAGGCACGCCATGCTCACTCACCCCACTAGCAGGCACGCCATGCTCACTCACCCCACTACCAGGCACGCCATGCTCACTCACCCCACTACCAGGCACGCCATGCTCACTCACCCCACTAGCAGGCACGCCATGCTCACTCACCCCACTAGCAGGCACGCCATGCTCACTCACCCCACTACCAGGCACGCCATGCTCACTCACCCCACTAGCAGGCACGCCATGCTCACTCACCCCACTAGCAGGCACGCCATGCTCACTCACCCCACTAGCAGGCACGCCATGCTCACTCACCCCACTACCAGGCACGCCATGCTCACTCACCCCACTACCAGGCACGCCATGCTCACTCACCCCACTAGCAGGCACGCCATGCTCACTCACCCCACTAGCAGGCACGCCATGCTCACTCACCCCACTAGCAGGCACGCCATGCCCACTCACCCCACTAGCAGGCACGCCATGCTCACTCACCCCACTAGCAGGCACGCCATGCTCACTCACCCCACTAGCAGGCACGCCATGCTCACTCACCCCACTACCAGGCACGCCATGCTCACTCACCCCACTAGCAGGCACGCCATGCTCACTCACCCCACTACCAGGCACGCCATGCTCACTCACCCCACTACCAGGCACGCCATGCTCACTCACCCCACTAGCAGGCACGCCATGCTCACTCACCCCACTAGCAGGCACGCCATGCTCACTCACCCCACTACCAGGCACGCCATGCTCACTCACCCCACTACCAGGCACGCCATGCTCACTCACCCCACTACCAGGCACGCCATGCTCACTCACCCCACTACCAGGCACGCCATGCTCACTCACCCCACTACCAGGCACGCCATGCTCACTCACCCCACTAGCAGGCACGCCATGCTCACTCACCCCACTAGCAGGCACGCCATGCTCACTCACCCCACTAGCAGGCACGCCATGCTCACTCACCTTACTAGCAGGCACGCCATGCTCACTCACCCCACTACCAGGCACGCCATGCTCACTCACCTTACTAGCAGGCACGCCATGCTCACTCACCCCACTACCAGGCACGCCATGCTCACTCACCCCACTAGCAGGCACGCCATGCTCACTCACCTTACTAGCAGGCACGCCATGCTCACTCACCCCACTAGCAGGCACGCCATGCTCACTCACCCCACTAGCAGGCACGCCATGCTCACTCACCCCACTAGCAGGCACGCCATGCTCACTCACCCCACTACCAGGCACGCCATGCTCACTCACCCCACTAGCAGGCACGCCATGCTCACTCACCCCACTAGCAGGCACGCCATGCTCACTCACCCCACTAGCAGGCACGCCATGCTCACTCACCCCACTACCAGGCACGCCATGCTCACTCACCCCACTACCAGGCACGCCATGCTCACTCACCCCACTAGCAGGCACGCCATGCTCACTCACCTTACTAGCAGGCACGCCATGCTCACTCACCCCACTACCAGGCACGCCATGCTCACTCACCCCACTAGCAGGCACGCCATGCTCACTCACCTTACTAGCAGGCACGCCATGCTCACTCACCCCACTAGCAGGCACGCCATGCTCACTCACCCCACTAGCAGGCACGCCATGCTCACTCACCCCACTAGCAGGCACGCCATGCTCACTCACCCCACTAGCAGGCACGCCATGCTCACTCACCCCACTACCAGGCACGCCATGCTCACTCACCCCACTAGCAGGCACGCCATGCTCACTCACCCCACTACCAGGCACGCCATGCTCACTCACCCCACTAGCAGGCACGCCATGCTCACTCACCCCACTAGCAGGCACGCCATGCTCACTCACCCCACTAGCAGGCACGCCATGCTCACTCACCCCACTACCAGGCACGCCATGCTCACTCACCCCACTAGCAGGCACGCCATGCTCACTCACCCCACTACCAGGCACGCCATGCTCACTCACCCCACTACCAGGCACGCCATGCTCACTCACCCCACTAGCAGGCACGCCATGCTCACTCACCCCACTAGCAGGCACGCCATGCTCACTCACCCCACTACCAGGCACGCCATGCTCACTCACCCCACTACCAGGCACGCCATGCTCACTCACCCCACTACCAGGCACGCCATGCTCACTCACCCCACTACCAGGCACGCCATGCTCACTCACCCCACTACCAGGCACGCCATGCTCACTCACCCCACTAGCAGGCACGCCATGCTCACTCACCCCACTAGCAGGCACGCCATGCTCACTCACCCCACTAGCAGGCACGCCATGCTCACTCACCTTACTAGCAGGCACGCCATGCTCACTCACCCCACTACCAGGCACGCCATGCTCACTCACCTTACTAGCAGGCACGCCATGCTCACTCACCCCACTACCAGGCACGCCATGCTCACTCACCCCACTAGCAGGCACGCCATGCTCACTCACCTTACTAGCAGGCACGCCATGCTCACTCACCCCACTAGCAGGCACGCCATGCTCACTCACCCCACTAGCAGGCACGCCATGCTCACTCACCCCACTAGCAGGCACGCCATGCTCACTCACCCCACTACCAGGCACGCCATGCTCACTCACCCCACTAGCAGGCACGCCATGCTCACTCACCCCACTAGCAGGCACGCCATGCTCACTCACCCCACTAGCAGGCACGCCATGCTCACTCACCCCACTAGCAGGCACGCCATGCTCACTCACCCCACTAGCAGGCACGCCATGCTCACTCACCCCACTAGCAGGCACGCCATGCTCACTCACCCCACTACCAGGCACGCCATGCTCACTCACCCCACTACCAGGCACGCCATGCTCACTCACCCCACTACCAGGCACGCCATGCTCACTCACCCCACTACCAGGCACGCCATGCTCACTCACCCCACTAGCAGGCACGCCATGCTCACTCACCCCACTACCAGGCACGCCATGCTCACTCACCCCACTAGCAGGCACGCCATGCTCACTCACCTTACTAGCAGGCACGCCATGCTCACTCACCCCACTACCAGGCACGCCATGCTCACTCACCCCACTAGCAGGCACGCCATGCTCACTCACCTTACTAGCAGGCACGCCATACTCACTCACCCCACTAGCAGGCACGCCATGCTCACTCACCCCACTAGCAGGCACGCCATGCTCACTCACCCCACTAGCAGGCACGCCATGCTCACTCACCCCACTACCAGGCACGCCATGCTCACTCACCCCACTACCAGGCACGCCATGCTCACTCACCCCACTAGCAGGCACGCCATGCTCACTCACCCCACTAGCAGGCACGCCATGCTCACTCACCCCACTACCAGGCACGCCATGCTCACTCACCCCACTAGCAGGCACGCCATGCTCACTCACCCCACTAGCAGGCACGCCATGCTCACTCACCCCACTAGATGGCACGCCATGCTCACTCACCCCACTACCAGGCACGCCATGCTCACTCACCCCACTAGCAGGCACGCCATGCTCACTCACCTTACTAGCAGGCACGCCATGCTCACTCACCCCACTACCAGGCACGCCATGCTCACTCACCCCACTAGCAGGCACGCCATGCTCACTCACCTTACT